GGCTGAGTACTATTCCATTGTATACATAAACCACATCTTCTTTATCCATTCATCTTTCGATGGACACCGAGGCTCCTTCCACAGTTTGGCTATTGTGGACATTGCTGCTATAAACATTGGGGTGCAGGTGTCCCGGCATTTCATTGCATCTGTATCTTTGGGGTAAATCCCTAACAGTGCAATTGCTGGGTCATAGGGCATGTCTATTTTTAACTCTTTGAGGAACCTCCACACAGTTTTCCAGAGTGGCTGCACCAGTTCACATTCCCACCAACAGTGTAAGAGGATTCCCTTTTCTCCGCATCCTCTCCAACATTTGTGGTTTCCTGCCTTGTTAATGTTCCCCCTTCTCACTGGGGTGAGGTGGTATCTCATTGTGGTTTTGATTTGTATTTCCCTGATGGCAAGTGATGCAGAGCATTTTCTCATGTGCATGTTGGCCATGTCTATGTCTTCCTCTGTGAGATTTCTCTTCATGTCTTTTGCCCATTTCATTATTGGATTGTCTGTTTCTTTTGTGTTGAGTTTAATAAGTTCTTTATAGATCTTGGACACTAGCCCTTTATCTGATACATCATTTGCAAATATCTTCTCCCATTCTGTAGGTTGTCTTTTAGTTTTGTTGACTGTATCCTTTGCTGTGAAAAAGCTTCTTATCTTGATGAAGTCCCAGTAGTTCACTTTTACTTTTGTTTCTTTTGCCTTCCTGGATGTATCCTGCAAGAAGTTACTGTGGCTGAGTTCAAAAAGGGTGTTGCCTGTGTTCTCCTCTAGGATTTTGATGGAATCTTGTCTCACATTTAGATCTTTCATCCATTTTGAGTTTATCTCTGGGTATGGTGTATGAGAATGGTCTAGTTTCATTCTTCTGCATGGGGATGTCCAATTTTCCCAGCACCATATATTGAAGAGGCTGTCTTTTTTCCAGGGGATAGTCTTCCCTGCTTTGTCGAATATTAGTTGACCATAAAGTTGAGGGTCGACTTCTGGATCCTCTATTCTGTTCCATTGTTCTATGTGTCTGTTTTTGTACCAATAACACACTGTCTTGATGATCACACTTTGTAGTACCACCTGAAATCTGGCATTGTGATGCCCCCAGCTATGGTTTTCTTTTTTTTTTAAGATTTTATTTATTTATTCATGATAGTCCCACAGAGAGAGAGAGAGAGGCAGAGACACAGGCAGAGGGAGAAGCAGGCTCCATGCAGGGAGCCCAACGTGGGACTCAATCCCGGGTCTCCAGGATTGCGCCCTGGGCCAAAGGCAGGCGCCAAACCGCTGCGCCACCCAGGGATCCCTATGGTTTTCTTTTTTGTATTCCCCTGGCTATTCGGGGTCTTTTCTGATTCCACACAAATCTTAAGATGTTGAGCACTCACTCCAGCCCTTTAGGGAGCTGGGTCCGCGGTGTGTGATGCCCTCTTCCCTGGGGCGCAATTCCTCTGTTAGTGCCCCTGGGAGCCTGAGCCCCTCACTGCCCGTCCTGGGATCCTGCTGGAGCTCCCTGCGAGCGCCTTACCCTCCCGGAAGATTCATAAAGTTCCTGCTTCTCTGGGCCTGGGCTTTCCTGTCCTGGGGGCTATCCCTGCCTAGCCTTAGCCAGGCTCCTTGCGGGGGTCCCTCCCTCTTGGATGCTTTTTTGTTTATTTTTTCCATCTTCCTACCTTGATAGAAGCGCAAACTCTTCACACTCTAGCATTCCAGCTGTTCTCTCTTTAAATCTCAGGCCGAATTCATAGGTTTTCAGGATGATTTGAAAGTTATCTAGGTAAGTTGGTGGGGACAGGTGACTTGGAGACCCTACTCTTCCGTCATCTTGCCTCACCTCTAAATAAATAAAAATTAAACAAACAAACTTACTAAGTTGAACTGTAAAACATCTCAAGAATTCTTTCTTGACCATTGTTCTCAAGGGTCCCACAAGAATATCAATGGGCCACCTCTCTGAGGTGCAAGATATGGTTCCTCTTGGGGATTGTTTTGGAATCAAGGATTGGAGACATTTTTATGGAGGCCAAGAGACTGGAGGAGTGGGCTTACTGCCTCCCCATAACTGTCTACTGTCTTGGCAGTGATGGACTTTCCACTCTTCCCTCTCTATCAGTACCCTAGTCCCAGTTGTCACTCATCAAGCCTCTCAGGAGACCTAGCTAACTACAAAATTCTCATTGCCATCATACACTTTTGCCCTGTGTGTGTGTGTGTGTGTGTGTGTGTGTGTGTGTGTTTGTGTGCTGGGGGAGCAGTATAGGCCATAAGGTATAATGGTAAAATGGATTAAGCTCTCAATCTGAGTTTTGAAGACATCTCCCCATGTCTAATAATGTCTGCATCTTATCATGCCAGGGTTGGAATAAACCCCAATAAGGTGACAAACATAACATTTCTCAGGAGCATTATAATACTGTAAGAAAAGAACTGGATCCAGAGTCAACCAGTCTGGGCTTGAATCCTATCTTGTCCACTTTCTAGCATTTTGACCTTGAGCTATTTATCTCATTCAGCCTCAGAGTCTTCATTTGTATCATCTATTGAGCTAATAATATCCACTAGACCAGGATTTCTCAACCTCAGCACTATTGATATTTTGAACTAAATAGTTCCTTGTTGGAGTTGTCTTGTGCATTGAGGGATGGTTAACAGCATCCCTGATCCCTATCCTCTAGATATCTAGCACTCTCCTCCCCCCAGGTTGTAACAATAAAAAATGCATCCATTCATTGCCAAATGTCCCCTGTGGGTAAAATCACCTTGGTTGAAAGGCACTAGAACACTGTGTCCTAGAACACAGAGTTGTTGAGAAGAATGCAAAGTAGAAGCACGTTGTAATTTGTTGAATTTACATATTTTTATAAGTCTTTAGGATTTTGATTAGAGAAATACTAAATAGACTAGTTTTCGAGTCAAACAAATGAGGAAGTGAGGGTTAGATTATCTTAATTTGGAGAGTTGAGAAAAGAGGATTGAAAGTAGGAAGACCAAACATCACAGTCTGCCAGGACTCAGGGATGTGAGATTTTCAGTGCCCAAATCAGGAAAGTCTTGGGCAAAAGGGGATGTCACTCTAGTCAAAAAAAAGTCACCACCGGTATGCACTACATGCCAGACTTTGTGCTGGGCACTTTTTATACATTGTTCAGTCCTGGCAATAAGCTTGTGACAAACATCATATCTCTATTTTCTTGCATAGGCAACTGAGACTCAGTGCAGCAGAATAGTGTAGCCACAAGAATTTGGGCAAATCTACTCAAAGGAAGTGGGATGGTTTCAGGCCTTCTAAAAACCCCCTTATGCTCTACTCTGAGATCTTCTTCTTCCCATTCCTTGGCCCAAGACACAGAGAAAGCCTACCAGAATACAACCTGTGACTTGCTCGTGACAGTATGGATGCCCAGAACTTTCAGCATGAAGTGGGCTTGAGTGGGCCTCCTTGGAGTATACTCTACATAAGCAAAATTATCTCCAAGGATAAGGAGATAGTCATGAGGAAAGGGGGATTCCCAAGAAGATGCACCTGCATGATTGTTTTGGCTCTTTTTGGGGGGTATTACCCTTGAATTGGAGGAGGTGCAGTGGAAGGGGTGAGTGGGATGACAAGGCAGAAGAGACAATAAATCCTCTGTGCCATTTTGGAGCTCACATATCCTCAGTGTGCCATCATTTCCTAGGAATTTTCAACATTCCACTTCAACCCCTACCAAAATAAAACAAAAATTTAAAAAAGGATTTGATTCTGGAAGTCTGTGCCCAGTGGTCCAGTATCACAAACCCTTGCTAGGCCTTTTGGAAAAAGCTGTCTTTCCAAGGATGAAGAATTTTCTTTAGGGAATTATGAAGCTTTCTCTGAAACTTGCTAGAAAATATATTATCTTTCTCTCTTGCTCTCCCTCCTGCCTGCGTTTTGATGGCCTAAGTAGCTATCCTCACTCTAGCCTTAGAAACTTAAACTTGCATTTGCTTCTAGTACCCACAGTGGAATCTGTGAACTACTCATTTATTTTCCCTGAGTATCTCTTGATGAGGATTTCTTAGTGCTGCTATTTGCTTAACAGGAACTATCCACTCCTATCACAGATTTACCTGTTCCTACTTGGTCATGGTGCAATGGTGCAGCCACTCTGCAAAACTGTGTGGAGGTTCCTCAAAGAGTTAAAAATAGACATGCCCTATGACCCAGCAATTGCACTGTTGGGGATTTATCCCAAAGATACAGATGCAATGAAATGCCAGGACACCTGCACCCCAATGTTTATAGCAGCAATGTCCACAATAGCCAAACTGTGGAAGGAGTCTCAGTGTCCATCGAAAGATGAATGGATAAAGAAGATGTGGTTTATGTATACAATGAAATATTACTCAGCCATTAGAAATGACAAATACCCACCATTTGCTTCAACGTGGATGGAACTGAAGGATATTATGCTGAGTGAAATAAGTCAATTGGAGAAGGACAAACATTATATGTTCTCATTCATTTGGGGAATACAAATAATAGTGAAAGGGAATAGAAGGGAAGGGAGAAGAAATGTGTGGGAAATATCAGAAAGGGAGACAGAACATAAAGACTCCTAACTCTGGGAAATGAACTAGGGGTGGTGGAATGGGAGGAGGGCGGGGGGTGGGGGTGAATGGGTGATGGGCACTGAGGGGGGCACTTGACGGGATGAGCACTGGGTGTTATTCTGTATGTTGGCAAATTGAACATCAATAAAAAATAAATTTATTATTAAAAATAAAATAAAGAAAAGGAAAAAAAAAGATTTACCTGTTCCTCTCTGAAGTCCAAGGCTGCCAGAGAATAATATTCTTTGCTGTATGCCCCACCCTACTTCTACCTCTTGGTCTCCAGCCAGCCAGAGAGACCTCAGAACGGGGGTGAGGAAGCATATTCACACAGATCCACTCTTACACTTAAAACTTCTGAGGTAGCCTTTCTCACTCCTGGCCATTTTGGTGGGTGCTTTTGGTTGGGGCCATCCCGCATATAAGGCAGGAAGATGGTGGCCACAAAGAAGAGGAAAAAGTCACTTGAGTCGATCAACTCTAGGCTCCAATTCATTATGAAAAGTGGAAAGTGGGCAGCCCCTGTGGCCCAGCGCCTTAATGCTGCCTTCAGCTCAGGGTATGATCCTGGAGACCCGGGATCGAGTCCCACGTCAGGCTCCCTGCATGGAGCCTGCTTCTCCCTCTGCCTGTGTCTCTGCCTCTCTATCTCTTTCTCTCCCTGGGTCTTTCATGAATAAATAAATAAAATCTTAAAAAGAAAAGAAAAGTTGCAAGTACATACTGGGGTACAAGCAGACTCTGAAAATGATCAGACACGGCAAAGCAAAACTGGTCATCCTGGCCAACAACTGCCCGGCTTTGAGGAAATCTGAGATAGAATACCACGCCATGTTGGCCAAAACTGGTGTCCATCACTACACTGGCAATAATATTGGATTGCGCATAGTATGTGCGAAATACTACGGAGTATGTACCCTGGCTATCATTGATCCATGTGATTCTTATATCATTAGAAGCATGCCAGAACAGAGTGGTGAAAAGTAAGCCACATGAAATTTTTTTCTTTAATAAAATTAGCCAGAGCTTGTTTTAGAGAAAAATAAATAAATAAATAAATATTCTGAGGTAAATTCTTCCAGAAGCATGGACTGTTGAGTTTGGAAGGACCTTCAGAAGACCAGCCAGTTTGACTCCATAAGCTTAGAGAAGTGGAGGAAGTGATGACCAGAAAGGTCAATGGCCTACCCCAGGATCACTCAGTGAGTTGGAGACTGAGCCTGCAATCAGAATCCACAGTTGCTGGAATCTAAATCATCATTCAGAATACTACTTACTTTCTGAAAACCACTCTATCTCAATGCAGATGAAAGGATTAGAAGTTTTAGCCAATAGTCTGGCTACATGATACTTTGAGCTGAAGAGCAATCCAGTGACTTCCTGCTCCTTGAAAAGGTCAGTGTCCTCACTCAAGTGTCCAGCCCTAGCACACAATGTTGGTCTGGGGAGGGAGGTGACCAGATCATTAAAGAAATTGGTAAAGTGACTGATGTCTCTGTGGCTGTCACTACCAGGTATGTATCTGGATATAACTCATTTGCCTACCTTGGCATAATTAAGCTAAAGAATTGACTTTTCTTTATTGATAATTTTTACTTCCATAAATCTCTGTTAAACTACTGCAATAATCCAGTAGCACATTTTAAGATGAAGAGTCCAAGCAGGTTCTCTAATTTTTTAATGGACATGTGCACTGCGGGTTGTGATTCTGGACATATGTGTATAATATATTGCCTGTTGGGAATTTTTTTGTATGTGGCTTTCATGGAAAAATGAAATAGCAGGAATTTCAGAGACTTACAGATGAAATTTCCAGTCTCAGTTTGAACTAACTGTGTAAATTTGGAGATTTGCTTAATCTTCTGAGCCTTGATTTCTCTAGCTGAAAAATGAGGGCTATCATATTTATTTCACTGGGTTATTGGGGAGAATTCTATGAGATGATGTGGTTAAAATGCTTAGCTTAGTGCCTGGCATATACACTGAATGTATGCTTAGCCAATAGTGTTTATTATCATCACACTATGTGCTATTTTATTCTGCTTAGAGCTTTGGGACCTCTAGATTGTGTTGTGGCCACTTGCCTGGGAAGCAGTACACCATCCCCATAAGCCCTGTCCCAGCTACCCTAACCCTGTCCTCTTCTGTACTACAAAACCAATTTTGATGTGTGGCTATCCTAAAGGAAAGCATAGCAATTAAAAGTTTCCCTTGCCCTCTGCTAGTCTGAGTACTTTGCTAATATCAAGAGTATGTAGTTTTATCTCTGCCTTTTTTTGCACTGTTTTATAATAATTTGATTCTGTCACTGTGTGTGTCCAGCTAGATTTTAAATGTGTTAAAAATTATCTTAATCCTTTCTGCCCCCTCCCAGGGACCAGCATTAAAACTACAGCAGAACAGATGTTCAGGGAGTATTTAAATAATTAAATGAATGAGCACTCAGATGCTAAGAACCAAGCATTCAAGCTATTTCTAATTGTAAAAGGGACCACCTCCCTCTCCCCTTAGATCACCATCTGTATGGAGTCCCAGATGTTTCTGGTAAGAAGGTTGCTTCCAAGTTGTTCTGAGAAGTTTTATTTTTCACATACCTATCCAAATTTGAGTTTACTTCCTGTGCCTTTTTGTGTGCACAGAAATTTTCACCCTTATTCTGGAACTTAACATAATCAATCTTAAAGTGTGTTGTATATCTCCATTGCCCCTTAAGAAGGATTATTCCTGGGATGCCTGGGTGGCTTAGCCATTAAGCCTCTGCCTTTGGCTCAGGGTGTGATCCCTGGGATGGAGTCCCACGTCGGGCTTCCTGCAGGGAGCCTGCTTCTCCCTCTGCCTATGCTTCTGCCTCTCTCTGCATGTCTTTCATGGATAAATAAATAAAATCTTAAAAAATAAAAAAGAGTGGCTATTCCTGAGGGTGACTTTGTCTTTGGAGTACTGGGCTTTGGAAGGTGATAGGTTTGTATTGAAACTTTGGCTGTACCACACATTTATTGTCTGTATAACCTTCAAAAAGAGGCTTAACTTCTTGAGTCCAGGATCTGTATCTGTAAAATGATGTGAAAGATTTGTAAAAATTTTATTTAATCTTTGTGACAATCTTATGTGTGGGGGGATATAGAATTATAGCTAGAATTAATATAATATGTAAAAAGTTCCCAGTATAGAGCTTGGCATTTGGTACACATTTGATTAATATTTGCTTATAATTTGTTTATGAAAAATAACCGAGGAGGGGCAAGATGGCGGAAGAGTAGGGTCCCCAAATCACCTGTCGCCACCAAATTACTTAGATAACCTTCAAATCATCCTGAAAACCTAGGAATTCGGCCTGAGATTTAAAGAGAGACCAGCTGGAATGCTACAGTGAGAAGAGTTCGTGCTTCTATCAAGGTAGGAAGACGGGGAAAAAGAAATAAACAAAAGGCCTCCGAGGGGGAGGGGCCCCACGAGGAGCCGGGCTGAGGCCGGGGCGAGTGTCCCCAGGACAGGAGAGCCCCGTCCCGGAGAAGCAGGAGCTGCACCAACCTTCCCGGGTGGAAAGGGGCTCGCAGGGAGTTAGAGCAGGAACCAGCAGGGTGGGGATGCCCTCCGGCTCCCTGGGACAGTAACAGACACCTGCGCCCAGGAGAGTGCGCCGAGCTCCCTAAGGGCTGCAGCGCGCACGGCGGGACCCAGAGCAGCTCGGAGGGGCTCGGGCGGCGATTCCGCGGAGGGGCCTGCGGGGCGGAATCAGCTCGGCGGCGGTGGCTCGGGCAGAGGAAGAGGCTCCGTGCGGAGGGGGCTGCGCGGCCGGGAGCAGCTCGGAGGGGCTCGAGCGGCTCCGCAGAGCGGCGGCTGCACGACCGGGAGCGCGAATCCCACAGCGCAGGCCCCGGAGCACAGGGCGCCGGGATACAGCCCAGGATCCGGCCTCCCCCGAGACAGGCAGAGGCCGGGAGGGCCCAGGACAAGAAGGACGCTCCTGCCCCGAGCTGAGCAGATCAGCGGCCCTGCCCCGGAGCCTCCAGGCCCTGCGGACGGGACGGAGAGCCCCGTAGTTCCTGCGGGGGCTGAATCCAGGTTTCCAGAGCTGCCATAGCCACTGTGGCTGTTCCTCCTGGGGCCTCACGGGGTAAACAACCCCCGCTGAGCCCTGCAGCAGGCAGGGGCAGAACAGCTCCCCCAAGTGCTAACACCTGAAAATCAGCACAGCAGGCACCTCCCCCAGAAGACCAGCCAGACGGACCAGTTCCAGGGGAAGACAAGGGACTTAAAGTCTACAGAATCAGAAGATACTCCCCCGTGTTTTTTGTTTTTTTTTTCTTTTTTCTTTTTGATTTCTGATTGAGTCCCCCACCCCCCTTTTTTCACCTTTCTTTCTTTTTCTTTCTCTTTTTCTTCTCTTTTTTCCCTTTTTTCCTTCTTTTTCTTTTTTCTCTTTTTCTTTTCTTTCCTTCTCTCTCTTTCTCTCCTTTTCCCAATACAACTTGTTTTTGGCCACTCTGCACTGAGCAAAATGACTAGAAGGAAAACCTCACCTCAAAAGAAAGAATCAGAAACAGTCCTCTCTCCCACAGAGTTACAAAATCTGGATAACAATTCAATGTCAGAAAGCCAATTCAGAAGCACTATTATACAGCTACTGGTGGCTCTAGAAAAAAGCATTAAGGACTCACGAGACTTCATGACTGCAGAATTTAGATCCAATCAGGCAGAAATTAAAAAATCAATCGAATGAGATACAATCCAAATTAGAAGTCCTAATGACGAGGGTTAACGAGGTGGAAAAACGAGTGAGTGACATAGAAGACAAGTTAATGGCAAAGAGGGAAACTGAGGAAAAAAGAGACAGACAATTAAAAGACCATGAAGACAGATTAAGGGAAATAAATGACAGCCTAAGGAAGAAAAACCTACGTTTAATTGGGGTTCCCGAGGGCGCCGAAAGGGACAGAGAGCCAGAATATGTATTTGAATAAATCCTAGCTGAAAACTTTCCCAATCTGGGAAGAGAAACAGGCATTCAGATCCAGGAAATAGAGAGATCCCCCGCTAAAATCAATAAAAACCGTTCAACACCTCGACATCTAATAGTGAAGCTTGCAAATTCCAAAGATAAAGAGAAGATCCTTAAAGCACCAAGAGACAAGAAGTCCCTGACTTTCATGGGGAGGAATATTAGGGTAACAGCAGACCTCTCCACAGAGACCTGGCAGACCAGAAACGGCTGGCAGGATATATGCAGGGTCCTAAATGAGAAGAACATGCAACCAAGAATACTTTATCCAGCAAGGCTCTCATTCAAAATGGAAGGGGAGATAAAGAGCTTCCAAGACAGGCAGGAACTGAAAGAATATGTGACCTCCAAACCAGCTCTGCAAGAAATTTTAAGGGGGACTCTTAAAATTCCCCTTTAAAGAGAAGTTCAGTGGAACAATCCACAAAAACAAGGACTAAATAGATATCATGAGGACACTAAACTCATATCTGTCAATAGTAACTCTGAACGTGAACGGGCTTAATGACCCCATCAAAAGGTGCAAGGTTTCAGACTGGATAAAAAAGCAGGACCCATCTATTTGCTGTCTACAAGAGACTCATTTTAGACAGAAGGACACCTGCAACCTGAAAATAAAAGGTTGGAGAACCATTTACCATTCAAAAGGTTCTCAAAAGAAAGCAGGGGTAGCCATCCTGATGTCAGATAAACTAAAATTTACCCCGAAGACTGTAGTGAGAGATGAAGAGGGACATTATATCATACTTAAAGGATCTATTCAGCAAGAGGACTTAACAATCCTCAATATATATGCCCCGAATGTGGGAGCTGCCAAATATTTAAACCAATTAATAACCAAAGTGAAGAAATACTTAGATAATAATACACTTATACTTGGTGACTTCAATCTAGCTCTTTCTACCCTCGATAGGTCTTCTAAGCACAACATCTCCAAAGAAACGAGAGCTTTAAATGATACACTGGACCAGATAGATTTCACAGA